TTTCCATACTTCAGCATTGGGGAAAAAGGCTTCCAAATTTGATGGCCTAATTTCCAGAGATTCTTCATTTTTCAGTAATTCACACTTTTAAAAACAATGCTAAGATAAGAAAGGGAGCTTTGCAAGTGTTTGATGGTCTGGGAAAATTGATACCTTATAGAAAGACAGCAGCACAAAGGTGAATAAGCACTGTTGTTTGTTTATTGTTTTTTCAGCTTGAAACATGATGTTAAGACCTAGCCACTGTTTTTTTTTTTCTTCCCCTTTCCCAGTAAGTATTCTGTCTGCTCCAACAGCTGTTACGTGTTCAGTAAGTGTCAGCTCTGGCTTGTATTAAATCTTCTAGACCAGACCAGTTAGCTCAAGAGGAGACACCCGTGTTTATAATTGGCACAATTTCACTTGCACACTAAAGGGTGAAGATGTAAGTCCTAACGATGCAAGCACGCTCAACTTACTAACTGGCGTGGCTGGCAGAAATTAATTTGCATCAAGGCTTGCTTTTGCTGCCAAGTCTCAGAAATATGATTTCTGTAGTAGCAATAAAAAACGAACTGCCTAGTAATAGTTCATCCTATGTCTGGGGTGAAGGGACAAGCCTTCCAGGTAGATGTCAGTGATTCCAGACAAGGATGAACTGTTCTTTTCCTTTTTTATTTTCTTTAAAGAAAAATAAAAAACAAAATTTCCTTCCAGTTGAGCTCAACTCCTGCTGCCTTCATAGATGTAGCCGTGCGGTTTCTTGGCAATAATACAGAGGTGCTCTGCCCTTGCCAGTATCATCATCATCATCATCATCTTCCCAGTCTACCCTAGAGTTCTGGCATTTCCTACTGGCCTCCCATCCAAGTTTTATCCAGGCTGGACCCTGCTTATCTTTTCTATATCAGCCAGCTTTATTTTAGACCAACTTGAGAAACTTACTTTAAAGCAGCCCCATTACTTGGTTGCTTTAAACTACTGGCTGGTGTCAGTTTTTGAGCTAGAGATTGCTAGGAAAAAATATTCAAGCAATTGTGCCATCTTGGAGTAAGTAACCATGCCAGTGTTTTCTGACATGCATTTTTCTTTTGTAACGATCTCATTGGCATGCTTCCTCCTTAAACATTCCTTTGCCCATTATTAAGTGTGTGTGTGTGTGCGCGTGTGCGCGTGCTGGTTTTCAGATTCTGTCTTGCCACCATGTCTAGTCTCTGAGCTTAACTTATTCAGTTCTCACAGTTTTGCCAACTTTTGGTGGAATACTTCTGCCTCAGGCAGAGCTTGCAATGCCGCCAATGGTTGCTAATCTTCAGGGAGCTGACAGGCAAAGTCTTCTTGCCCAGAAGTTGGGTTTTGTTGTATTGGAGCAGTTGTGGGGTAGATGATTCAGTGCTTCCTAGTGGGGTATCTTTGCCCCAGGGAGGCTTTTGGGAGATGTTTTCATTGCAGTGTGCATCTTTTTGAATGCTCCTGTGGAACAAGATAGTTTTGAATCAGTAGATTTCAGACTATCTTCCAATGCTGCTTAAATCCTATTGGATCCAAGGTAAGCATATCCTGTTATTTTGGTGATCTTCCTGAAATGGGAGCCTGGGTTATTTTCCTATTCTGTTAACGTGCAAAAAAGTTTCTTTATGTGCTTTGGAGACAGTTTTCCAGGCCCCCCGCATAATGGGTATGATTTAGTATTTGAAATTGTCAGTCCTTTTCATCCAAGGCAGTAAAGTATGGTTTCTACCCATACTGGGCTAGTGGAAAAAACTGAGAAATTACTTTGCAAGAAGATGGAAAGAGGAGGAAGGGAAAACTGAGGGGTTCTAACAAAAGCTCTCCCATAGCCCTTTCAGAATCTTGAAAAAGTGACGTATCCTACCAAACATAGTAGTGTGTGTGCCAAAGTGTACATGTAACAAAAACATCCCCAGATGCAATGCACAAGAATTTGGGGGTGGACAACGAGGGGGCTTTTTAGTAGGCAGTTCAGCACAAAAAGACTTCTTAGAAGGAATCAAGTACGAGATGCACTAGCTTCACAAATGGTTATTGGACTGTTTTCTAGAGTACGATGCAAAGTAAAAGAGCTGCTGTAGCATGGTGGTTACAGCCCTTGCTTGGGCATGGAACACTGTGAGACTGAGCCAGTCTATCTCTCAGCCCAGCCAATCTGATCCAGTCTCTGTCTCTCTTTGTCATTGTGCTAGAAAAATTAAAGGAAGATCTCCATGTGAGTCGCCTTGAACTCTCAAGAGAAAAGATAGGAAAGAAGTGCGATACAGTAATTGCCAGCAGCAGATAACCATAAAATCAACAATAATAAGAGGAATGAAAAGTTAGCTCTGATACTTTTTTCTTGGCTGATTTTTTTTAACTGAAGTAGAAAGGAAGATGTTTGGCTGCCCTGAGCCATCAGTGCATCCCCTACAAGCTGCTTCTCGTTCCTCTACTCTTGCACCAGTCTCCAAGCCCTACCAGTGGGGTAGAGGTAGTTTGCGAAGCTACGTCTTTCCATCAGCTTTCGGTGGGAAGTTTATTGAAATTGAATGTGTAACATTCCTTCTTTTATGAATCCTGCAGCGGTTAAGCTCTATGTTGTGTGAGTTAGAGAAGCTCCCCCGCCTCCTTTCTTTTTTTTAATGGAATTTGTGCAGAAGAGAACTACAAGCAGGGGAAGAATTAGTTAATGGAAAAAAAAGGACAGCCGGATTGAGGAGGCGGAAGTCATAAACACTTCTGATAGAAAGCCAGCCATCACACAGAAAGAATATGTTGGCACGGCAGTGGAATGGTCTACTGATCATCCTCTTAAAAGTTTACAGCATATTTCATCATTGTCTTGCTGCAGGATCCTGTATGATTCAACCTTTGTGTTTGGTGATATTCCAGCTTTTTGAGGGTCCAGCAAACAAGGTGGAAACACACTGAGAGAGAATGGAAGAGGGGCCAAGCTCAAGGAAACTTCTTTGGGGCCTTCAAGATAAATAAGGAGCCTCCTAAATTGTGCTCAGATATAAATTAGCACATAAGATAAATGAGCACAGATCCAGAGGATTCATGAATTGTGATTCCTTTGGTACTAATGGAAGGTTCCAAAGACATTATTAGGGCAGCCCCACTGTGTAAAACATGTTAGAGGCAACCCATCTTTCACATTACAAAAGCATGCATAATTGGGGTGAATTCAAGCAATTGTACCCTCTTCTAACATGAAATATCACAACTTCTGGGAGAAGTTTTCATTGAATTTACTTTCAATGTCAAAATATATGTAAGCTGCATAGATTTATAAGGTTGGCAATTAACATGCTAGGTGAATTGAAGAAAGTGCCAGACTGGTTTTTAAATGGCCTGTTTCTAAAACCCAGTTCATTTGGATTTAGAATGGATTTCCTTGGTCACAATGTTTCCCTGAAATTAGATGTATGCTTTAAACCAAAACAACTCCAACATGCATTTGATTGCATATCGTATTCTTTCCCCAGAATTCAGCAATAAGTACCGTTTCCTATATTGATAAAAATCTTGCTTCCCTAGGCAGGAAACAAGGGTATGATATCTTTGCTTACCTTGTTGGCTTGAAGCATTGGAGTAGTGTTTGGCACTGATAAGAGGGTAATTCCAAATGAGTTTGGGCTGTTCTAGCTATGGGGAGGGGGATGTAGCTGAACAACTCCAACATGCATTTGATTGCATATCGTATTCTTTCCCCAGAATTCAGCAATAAGTACCGTTTCCTATATTGATAAAAATCTTGCTTCCCTAGGCAGGAAACAAGGGTATGATATCTTTGCTTACCTTGTTGGCTTGAAGCATTGGAGTAGTGTTTGGCACTGATAAGAGGGTAATTCCAAATGAGTTTGGGCTGTTCTAGCTATGGGGAGGGGGATGTAGCTGAAACACAATGGAATCTTTCATAGGTAATACTTCAGTGGCCTGAATTAGCTTTTGTTGAGTTTGTGGGTGAAATGAACTAGGTGGTTACAGTTTAAGCAGTATTACTACGTTAGAATCATTGTTGACTGGGGAATATGGAAGTTGAACTCTGATGTATCTGAAGGATAGTCACTTTGAAATAGCTAGTCAACATTAGCTTTGTATATCAAAAGGATATAATAATTGCTTCCTTGTTTGAAAAAGATTCATGAGGCTGCTGTGTAAAATCCAGCTGAAGGTTTTTCTTTTATCAGCGAAGGGACCTGCCTCTCTGCCAGGTCATAGAAAAGCTGTTACAAAGAAAAATAGCAACTATTCACCTTAATATACTCAGGGATATATTAGTTCTTAACTGAAAAAACATGCTGGAATTTATGGAACTTCATCCCGTTCATTTCAATAAATCTCGCTAAAGAGAATTCTGAGAATCATGCTTGGAAAAGAATAACTTTTGGTTTTAGACAGCAGCCAAAGGTCCTGACAAGCTCCATATACGTTGGACCTATATGTTTAGCTGTCCATAGCAAGCCAAGGTTGCATCAAAATGATGAAAAATGTACAGTTATATCATGATGTAAACTCTGCTGTTAACGTATTTGCATCTTGACATCTGATTTTAAGTTCGTAACCCCCATAAGTTGCACCTGACATCTGATGTAGGTATGTAAGGCACACAGGATGAGAAGTATCAAAGCATATGTTTGTGACACTAGGAAGCTGGTTTCATCATTGGAACAAATGATGCCTATGTAGGTATCCTAAATAATAGTTTTATATAAATGTGCACAATCCTTTTAAAAAATTGTGGGGTAAATTATTGACTGTGAGTGGAATTACAAAGAAAAATGCAGAATTCCTATAATGGCCTAGGATGTATATTACAGGACAGTGTTCATGCATCACACTAGGTTGATGTTAACTATTGTTTGTTATTTTGGAGCTTACTATATTTTGCCTATTTGGTTAGTTTACGATTTGGTCAGTCCTAGAAAATGGGTTAATTTAGTTAGTAGATTATGAATATTTTGTGAACTCATAAATAGAATCTAAAGAATGATAACATTTCTCTCCTTTTCTCTCTCTTGCAGACCTAATGTATGTGGATCACGTTACAATGCATATTGCTGTCCTGGGTGGAAAACTTTGCCTGGTGGAAATCAATGTATTGTCCGTAAGTTGTAATTTTTGCTGTTTTTATTAGCAAATACCTCAGTCATTTATTTTTTAAAAATCAAACAGTGTTATGAGTTGTTTTTACAAAGAAGTTTTGTATTGCCCCTGATGTAGATGAATTCATTTTTCTGGTTATTTCAGTACCATTCAAATAGCATTTCGTTTACCCCACAGCTAAATAGGCTAAGAGATACCTAACTCATCTTAATTGCACCTTTGCACAAACCTTCCTTTTGAGAGGAAGTCTGTAATCATGTGACCAGACCCAATTTTATGACCTTTTTTGTGGCAGTTGTTAAGTGAATTATGTGATTGTTAAGTGAATCATGCAGTTCCCCATTGATTTTGCTTGCCGGAAGCTGGCTGAGAAGTTTGCAAATGGCAATCACATGACCTTGGGATGCTGCAGCCGTCATAAGTGCGAGCTGGTTGCCAAGTGCCCGTATTGTGTTCACGTGACCATGGAGGCATTGCGACAGCCATAACTTTGGGCACCAGTCGCAATTAACTTTTTAGCACCGTCATAACTTTGAACGGTCACTAAACAAATGGTCGTTAAGCGAAGACTACCTGTACTTTTTTCTTTTTCTTTTCTGCACTTTTTCTTTTATCTTTCTTTTTCTTAATTCCTTTTTCATGTATTTTTTCATGTTTATCTTATATTCATATAAAATTTTGTAATAAAAATTATATATATATGAAAGAGAGATGTGCCTGTCAGTTTGTATGATTGCAGATGTGCCAAGATGTTTTGAGAAATCTCAACTGCATTGAGCACTTCAGAGTTGAATTCTCTTTGCAAGGTCTGGGATAAAATGAGGCATATTGTATCTGGATTGCAAAAACCCAGAAAACCATTAGGTGGCATGTAGGGGTTGTCCAGATTTTTTGCAGCCAGGTATGGTAGACCAATAAAATGGCTGGGCATTTGCTTTTTATACCGATACCCAGGCCATCCCAACACATTTTGCTCCCTGAGGCAGAGAATCAAGAAGCACTTCCTTTCATTCTTGTTTCAAAAGCCCGCTGGAAGGGCAGGGCTTCTTCAGTACTGAGGATGGGAAAGTACCTACCGCTAAAACTGAGTGCTACAGTCTAGCTCAAGTAGCCTTAAGATCAGCCACAGAACACGCCCTTCTCTCCTCTGTCAGCTCATTGCTACGTCTCCACGCTGGCTGCCTGGGATGACTTGCTCACGTTGCCCAGCACTCTCAGCTATAGAGCTCAGTAGCTGAAACGAAAAAACAACGTGAACATTGACTCTAAGTTTGGTGAAGTGTCCTGAACATCAGTCATCCCAGAAAGGGCTTGATAGTCTGAATAGGTGGGTGCAGTCATTCATCAGACTCTAAAACCACAAGTCAGTATCTTTGAAAGTGTTTTTCTTTTCTTTCTTATTAACAGCGATTTGTAGGCATTCCTGCGGAGATGGATTTTGCTCGAGGCCAAACATGTGCACGTGTCCGAATGGCCAGATTGCCCCATCCTGCGGCTCAAAATCAGGTATGCATTCAAAGCTTGGATCAGTCATCTCTGCTTGGGCTGTCAAGCTAGCATAGTAGTTTGTTTTCATTTGATAATATCTTAGTAGTTGAGACAACTAAACAGGGATGTATGTTTACCACAGCTAAGGGAATCTAGTGACTGGGTTCTAGTTACTTGCAGGCGTTCCTTCTGGACACGTTAAAGATAACAAATAACACCCATAATGGGAGTTTCTGTGTCCTTCTTTGAAAAGTCTTTATTTTGACTTCACAACAGCTGACAGCATCGACCTAACTTATTGGGATGAACAAGCTAGAATTTATGGAAGTCCCTGTAAGATTTGGTAATCCACTACCAGAGGCATTCACCACAGGATTGTGGGGCGTGTAGGGGTGTTCAGTGACCTAGTTTTTGAGTAAGTGGTATTAATTATGATTCAGATGTATTATGCTTGTCTGGAACTGTTTTATGGGTTCACAAGAGAGTTTGAGACTCCCATGAGACAGTGAAAAGTAGGATAAACATTTACGTTAAGTAGCATAAAATTAATACCATGCAGAATAGAAAGTAATTCCTATTGCAGGCAATGTGAATGTTTAGATCTCACACTGGTTGCCAGCGTTGTGTGGGATCAGTAGTTCAATTATGCTTTTACAGATGACTGGTGTTTCGTATTTGCAGTTGTGTTCTTTTTAAATTGTGTTTTAAATTCTTATGTGGTTTTGTTTTCTTTTTTTGTTGGCTACTTTGAACAGAATTCCCTTTGGTGGAGAGACAGGACATAAATCTAATAAATTAATCTCCCTTTATTTGCTGGTTTATTTGCATTGTTGGGGTGTTCACTTTCAAGATGCTCCTTGTGCATCTTTAAATTATAACTAGTTCTCTGCTTTACTCATCACATGCCAGAAAAAAGGAGCTTTAGGAAAATAACAGGTTATTTATCTGTGTTTTACTTAGAATCTCCTCACTGTTAATACTTTGCTGTGCTAACGGCATTTCAGGCATAGCAGGGGGGTTGGGAAAGCAGTCTTACGAATTCCCCAACAAAAGCTGAGTTTACAGTTCAGTTAAGACATCGGTTTGAAAAGTCCTCAGAAAGTTACTCAGTACAGTATTGCCCTGTTTCCACTGTGTCCTTGTAAAGTAGAAAATTCATGGTGAACCCAGTGTAGAAATAATCATGTCAAAACAGTGAACTGACTTTTTGCTAAATGAAAAGAAGTATGTGTATCTTGAAAAAAAGGACCCTTAAAAGCTACTGGTTTCCATAAGAAATATTTTAAAGCAAGCTCTTTCAGATCAGAGTTTGAAACATAATTCCGGTCTGGATGACACAACAAACCGTGATTCAGGGAACCTGAATGTCATTGATGGATTTTAATGATGGCAATGCAGGAAGAAGAGGGGGATGTGGGAAAGCTTAGGTTGATTCAACTCATCCCTGCTTGCCGATGTAGCTTTAAATATTTAAATGTTGCATGCAGATAAGACCAGGTCAGAAGTCATCTGAGATCTTTCCACTGAGCTAGAATAGTCTTCTCCAAGGAGCCTGGTTTTTCCAGATGTGTTCAGGAAAATGGGTTAGTCTGGCTTTGGGTTAGTGTTTTAGAGGATTCCAACCATTATGGGTTATTCAATAAAGCATGATTACATTATATCAAGCCATGATTTAGCAGAGCTTATTTTATTCCAAGAAGTAAATCTGGCAATGGAAACTTTTAAATATAAGCTGTTTGCAACTACCATCCTTAAGGTTAATTATCAAAACTGTCCTAAATATAAGCCTTTTATATCAAGTATCCCCCAGATTCTTGGTCTATAATTCCCATCATCCCCAGTCTCATAGATATGATGGGGAGTTGTAATCCAACACATCTGGAAAACACCAGTTTGAGGAAGACATGTATTTATTCATGAGCAGTTTCAGTGGAATTGAAAATTTCTTTTAGTCTATGGCTCATACTTCTTTTAGTCTATTGTTCAACCTCAGACCTTTCCAGTGGTTCATTGATAAATAATTTTTTTAACCATAGTAGCTGGTTTTTTCATCATCCTCAGAACTAAGCAACAGCCTGAAATGCTTAAAACTTTACATCTGTTCTTTGCCTGGACCTCAGTGCTGAGACATGGCTGGCAAAGACAGCCATGAATGTCTTTAAAAAAATCCGGATCCTCCTCTGCATTTATCCTCTTAGACCTCACAGATGTTTCCCGCAATTCCGTTCTTCCTTAAGGATTTCAAAGAGATTGTGGATGAGATGGAAGACAGGCCAAGAGTCCACCCTGTTAGTTCAGACAAACACCAGCCAGATGCTTGAAAGCAATAGCCCACTCCTGTTGTTGCTTCCTACCAATTTCTGCTGGTCACAAACTGCTTCTGTAGATAAAGAAACTATTGTGTAATATTCCTTTTAGAGCCATGCATAACCCTGTTCATTACCACTTTCTCATGGCACAGAATCGCTTAAATTAATAACAGATTACGTGAACTAATTTGTTTTTTCTCTAGGTGGAAGTTACAATAGACAGTTTCATTTGGGATTTAATAAGTAGTGACAGAATTGTCAGGTCTTTACGCTAGTTCTTTTCCTTGTCTTTCAAAGTGACCCCAATGCAAAAATTATGCCAAGAAAGCATCTGTTGTTCAGAGGTACATAGTTTCTGAATTGAGAGGACCAATGAGCTGCTGTGATAGGGCTGTCTTGCATTTATGGAATTCCTTTTAAAGCCATCTTGTCTGGCAAAACACACGTGAATATTAACATTCCTATTCTAACCCATTTATGCCTTAAAAATATTGATTATTCTCACCTGCTTTTGTCTCGAAGGGAAGTCATTGTTCCAAACCTCAACATACTTACTAGAGTGAGTATGGAGTGCACTGTAAGAATTTTTAGATGAATATGAAAACATAAGAATAGCTCTACTAGATCATGGCAGAGTTTATCTTAGTCTAGCACCTTTGTTCTCACTCTTAACATTGAATCTTCGAGATCCAAAGTCCTTGGCAGACTGTCCTCCATGAATTTATCCAACCCTTTTTAAAAAAATCTGCCCATATTAATGGCCCTTACCATATCTTTTGATAATAGATTCCACGAGTTAATTATTGGGGCTATGTAATGCTTGGGGTTTGAAGATAAAAAAGGTGCTTTGGAGTGAGCAGCCATGTGAATAGAGCACCTGGTTTGCAGCTTCTTAAAGCATCCATGCCATTTCCTAAGATTGCTCAGCTGCCCCACAATCTTGAGGAAAAAAAAGTGTTAATGAATTTTTAAAAATACAAATTGGATTTCAGTTGTACATGTTTTTTCCTGAATATGTGCCCTCTTTATATAGATGTTTTGTTGAATTTTCTTCTGCGTAGACATTCCAACTTTCTGAGTGTAGTGCGTAAGCCAAAAACTGCATTGCAATTTTTAGGAGATACACAGTACAACGATTAATTGTATTTCTATCATTCTGTTTGCCCAGAAACGTGAATTAGGTTGACCTATTTAAAAATGCTAACCTGTAGCTTCCTACTCTTATGCTGGGTTTATCTCATAAACGTAACCCTAAACTTGGGGGAAAAATATAATTTCTGCATTCATAAAATGTGCTTAGGCAATAGCCGAGTCCTATAATACACTATCAAACCTCATTTTAACCTACTTTTATGTGTTGTGGGAATCCACCCTTGTTCTACTCCTTGTAATAGGTTTGGATTATTACTGGGATCCAGTTGAGATAAAGGGCATTTATCCATGCTTTCACCTGGGGTTAGGCTCAATTTGATGACTTCTAAGTAAACAAAATTAGTCACTAAATTTTAGTGATATGTGGAAAAATACAAGTATTCTGCAGTACCTCCAAGGAAAGCTATTGTTGAAATCCTTGAAGCTAGAGACATGTTACCAGTGGCTAAAATTGAGACACGGCGGAGCATGTGGTCTTCCACTGAACTTACATAGTTGGTTTGAGTAGGTGCCATGTTTTCTACTTTACTGTAATAGTAAAGAAAACATTTACTGTAATAGTAAAGAAAACATTTACTGTAAAGGATTCAACATACTGTACAATTGCAACTCCACCCATTCTTTACAGCAGTTCCTCTGACAATGGTGATTCAAGTATCTAGCCTGCCAATTAATGAAGGCATAAGAAATATTTCTCTTTGGGAGGGGAACATGTATTTGAATATAGTTAAGGCATATGATTTGAACCCCCACCCACTTGAGAAAGATTAAGAAAACTTCTCAGCTTGTCTCTTGAAAAAGTTTATATATATTCATACATATGTATATATATTTATTTATTAAAGCATAACAAATATGTTCATAAGAATATATAAGAATATACTCATAACATATATTCATAAGAATATATGAATCTGTACTGAAGCCATTGCTAAACTTATTACTTCAAAATATTTAAATGGCTTTGGTAATTATGTGGGAATGGAAGTTAGCTTTTGGCATGCCTTGCTCTAATTGAAATCAGTTTTGTGGTTTTAAGTTCCTACCCCGCCTGACAGATGATATCATTTCCTATGTGTTTTCTAATCTGGCCTGTTTTCCTACGATTTTATAAAGCTTAATTGGACCATACGTTTTTAAGGCTATTGCCATCTCCATCCCCCACCCCTTGATCAGTGTAGGGTGGTATAGGTAGTCTCTGCCAGCTGATTATTATTAAGATTGTTTTTTTCTCTGGTTAAAGTGAAGTCCTACTAAGAGCCAAAGTAAAAGTGGAATGATATATATCTTTATACTGAAAAGGCTGATTTTTAAAAATGTAAATGGCAACTTCTGGGCGGGCTTCTAATCCCTGGGATCAGAGCAAACAGAAAGGGGACGTGTTAGCTTGTTTTGTGCTGTAGTCTGGATCAAAAGCAGCACCTTTGAAGCTTCTTGTTGTATCAACATAAAATGGCATATTGGTGCCATTAAAAAACAAACAAACTATATGTAGATGCACACAGCCCAGCAATTTGCCCTGATGTCCCATTGATTTCAGTGTCCACGTTTTGCAGACTTCACGATGGCTAGGTTCATATCATGCTAACCCAAATGACCAACCTTATCATAACGTGTGAATCTTCCTTAGTGTGCTGAGAATGAACAGCTGCAGTGGGCTTTCCTTTTTTCTCCTGCAAAGAAAACCCATAAAGTCTCAGGTGTTGCTCTTGGGAGATCCAGCTTCACGTCCCAACCCACCACGAGTCTCATTGCGTGACTTTGGACCAGACATTTTTATTTAGCCTAATTTACTTCATAGAATTATTGTTGGAGATAAAATTAAGGGAGACCCTCATGTACCCTTCACTGATTTCCCACAGAAAAGCTGGGATTAGCAATAATTAATAAATCATTTTCAGATAATCACAGCTTATTTGCAGTGCTTGAATCCTGAACTGTGATTAATGTAGCTTGTTTAAACAAAGCATCTTCATAAATCATAGTTTGGAAAAGACTTACTAAAAAAAAATACCAAGGTTGATCACAGTTTTTGGTTAGCAATGTTTTGCTGTCTAGAAATTACAATATCATGACCTTGTCTTTTTGAAGGTTCCTTTTATATTAGAATCCACTTCCGGTCTCTATATTTTGCTTCTGCTCTAATTGGCATCTACTGCTGTAGAACAAGTAGAGAACTAAATTGCAAGACCTCTCCCCCCAGCCCTGACAATAACCAGGTGTCCCTTTATATTTTACTAGCACCTGGCCATATATGCTTTCAAATTTTGCTAGGTGGTTAGATCCCACATATTGGCAACTTGCTAGTGGCATTGAAATACAGTAAACAGAAAAACAAATCACAGACATAACTGAGCATTTTCTGCAAGGAAAGACGAATTTCCGTATTTTTCATTTAAAGTTTAATTTTTACACCAAGGAAGTTCAGTGCACTTCAAGAAACATTGAATGTGGTTGTTTCTAGTAGCTGGGAACAGGATTTTGGTCTTCAACCAAAGAGGCCAGCAGAACTAGTCCCTTTTAAGAGTGCGGTTTCTTACTGTATAGAGTCCTTCACCTTCCTAGTGCACTTCAGTTACATAGACTAAGGTTCTCATGATTCCCCAGTGTAATAACTGACTGGGGATCATGGGTATTGGACTTCCATACATCTGGAGGCCATGTAATTGGGGTAAACAGATCTTTAATATAGGCAAGACTGTGGCTTCTGTTCCATTTCATTTAACATACTGTATCTCCTTGCAATCGTTTCAGTACTGTACTTAATAAAAGTTATGGTCTACTCTCCCTTTTAGACCATGACACAAACTGAGCTATGATATGTATGGTTTTAGTTTATTATGTTGAGTAAACTCAGGAAACTGATTAATTCGATAAACCATGATTAAAGAAGCCATGACTCAATGTCACATACGAACTAAATTTTAAATGTTATTTTCTTGTTTTTGAATAATGGCTCTGAAAGGTGTTCCTGCATTGGAAATGGTGGAATGGCAGGAATAAATTTGGTGCATGAAATTTCTAAAAATGCAATAATAAGAAAAGGAGTAGATGCTGTCAAATCTCCTCCTATCTTATAAGATTATTTAAAAAGTGTAAGATGATTTTGAGTGATAATTTGAACTCTGTAACAAAGAGAGCTTACAAGATATTTTCTTCAGAATTTCTATGCACCTTTGGTATTGAAAAGCTTATCTCTGTATTTTCCCATGTAATTACTTTTTTGAGTTTTTTTATCTGCCAGTTTTCTCTTGAGTCTTCCCTACAATCTGTATTCTCCAAAGGCAATGAGTGCAGTATTTTGCATTTCCGTTTTATGATGTCCTTTGCAGAACTGAGCGTAGACATGAGTGCATCTGTTGTTTGTAGATGTTGTACACATCAATGAATAATGGATTGTCTTTCTCTTCAAGTGCAACATTGCAACATCAGATGTATGAATGGAGGGACTTGCAGTGATGATCATTGCCTCTGTCAAAAGGGATACACAGGAACACACTGTGGACAGCGTAAGTAAACAGAATTTACAGTTGGAATTCAGCTAGAATATGGAAATGATAAAGAAGCAATTGAGAATTTGAGTTTAACAATTCATGGATGAAATGCACCAGCTCATAAAAACAGCAGTAGCAAGAATACCTTTTCATGGTGGTTCCCCAATGGTTGCTGCTCTTCCATGCCCCTCCCCCCCCCCAGTAACCTGGGAATAATGCTCTACAATCACTGTGATGCAGATTCCAGATTAGATCAAGATGAAAAATGTGGCCATTATGAAGAGAGGTATTCTGGGTACCAGTAGTGTTGTGAAACATGGTCCTTCAACTCTGTTTCAGTTGCCAAATTCTTATCTAAAAACTTCGATCTTGGCTGTAGTTAAAATAAAAAATCAGCCACCAGATCATGCAGGATTGCATGTGGATTGTCTAATTTTTCAGAGAAGCTCATAACTTTTCAAGAAGTGCCAGGAAATTTCTTTCTGACTGGAATATGCCTCAGACAAATGCTTGATATTAACAGATATAGGAGTTCTTGTATTAAAGTTACAGAGGTACTGGGAAAGTTTTAAGTATTTAAAATCTGATTAGTGGCAACTTTGTCGTTGCTAACTGTTGGCACTATCCAGTCCTTTTTGCATATTGAAAACAAATCTTGACAGGCTAATCATGGAAAGTATTGTAAATCTTACTCTGTCCCCTGGGTATTAGCATTTGGCTGAGTGCCCTTTAATGCAGTTAGCCATTTCCAGTTAAATAAGGTCTTCACAGATCTTGATTCCATTGCGTCAAGGCTACTTCCAGAAGTCGTACAGCGTGCATGATCTGGGAAGCAGAAATCCTGCATTCAAAGTCTAGGTGGTGATATTTGTGTTTCCAGTCATAGTCGGATGATGAATGATGGGGCATAGGTGCCCGCACTTTGATGGGAATGGAACATCGAGGTCATTTCCATTCTCCTCTTTGTATGCAGGCAGTTGCATTCAATCTTTAGCAACGATGAAGTTCTGAAGAGGAAAGCTTCACCTGACTTCTGTGAAATCTTTTCAGATGAAGTCAGAATGTTGTTAGGTTCTTTTGACTATCTATTGGTTGGAGTGCTGAGGCTGGCAAAGACCCTGAGACCAGACACTTTGTGTGTGCTTCCTATCCATGCTTGAGAAAAATAAAGTGGCAAGAGATCCATTTCCATTTAAGGCCAGGAGAAAGAAACCCAAACTTTGAACCTCTTGCAGTTATGAATAGAGGGCTTGATTGCTTGTTTCTACAAGTTTATTTTGATTAGGGCTTCTTTTATCAGCAATAAAAGGAACTTACCTCTCTGAGCCATGCGCTTACTACTCTTCACTACTAGCTCCTGTGTGTGGGTTTGAGGACCAACAGAGAGATTTATTGCTAACCCCTGGGGGAAACTCTGACAGCAATTGCATTTACAAGTGCCTTTGATAAGTAGCTTGTAGAGTTTGGCATTCTATTCCAAAAGCTTATTTGTTGGTTGAAATCCCAAGACATCCATATTAGCTGTGAATATTTGTGCCAACCAATGTGGATTCGTAATAATGCATTTAACTGGAAATCATATTCTTTGAAAGAAACTTGTAATTCTGTGAAGTTGATTTGTGTGATGCTTCCTAGACAGAGAGCAGTAAGAGGGAATAGGAATTCATTTTTTTTCAGTTAAGGATATTTTTGTGATTTTTATAGTTCTTAAAGGCTTGTGGCAACCCTTCATGGCCACCTCCATTTCCTGCTAGAACCACACTGTCAGGGCTTGAGGACAGATAAGCAGTCACCTCAGAAAATCTACCTGGAAGAACAGGTTGTTACAAGCCTGGGTGGGTGCTTATGCATTAAAGTTAGTGGTATAAGAAACAGAACAGTGAGAAGCTTGACATTTGCCATGGAAATTATGCAATTCTTATACACACTTATTATGTTTACCTAGAAGGAAGTCTACATTGATCCCCAAATGGTTGACTTTTATTTATGTTCTCTGAGCATATAACAATGAAAAGTTACATGTTTTTATCTTCCCATATTAGAGGAAGGGATCCACTTAAACTTAAAGTGGGGGGCAGGTAAAATGTGGTAGTATTTGTTGCTAAATGTATCACATGGTAAGAGATGTGAATGATTCACATCTGAACTCTGGAGGATGTACCAAATTAGTCAACAGTGGATTAGATGGGCCAATATTCTGACCAATATTTTTATATCCAATCAATATTCTGATCGGATATAAGGCAACTTTATTGATTCCTGTGAGAGTGATATGCTAAGCTATAATGGCATTTCATTGGTTTTGTTTTAGTGTAACATCAAATTTGGCTATTGAGGTACAGGTAGTCCTCGACTTACGACCACAATAGGGTCCGGAAAATTCATTGTTAAGCAGTGCGGTCATTAAGTGAGGCGTCACGTGACCATGACTTATATCCTTCCCTGTTGGCTTCCCCACTGACTTTGCTTGTTGGAAGTTGGCTGGGAAGGTCGCAAATGGCAATCACATGACTGCAGGATGCTGCAACTGCCATAAATGCACGATGGTTGCCAAGCGCTCGAATCACAATCACATGACCACAGGGACGCTGCACCGTCATAAGTATGAGGACTGGTAAGTCACTTTTTTCAGTGCCATCATAACTTTGAACAGTCGCTAAATGATGGTTGTAAGTCGAGGACTACCTTTTATATAAACCATGGCTTATGGCTTAGTATTATGCAATCAGTCATTTGTAACTTAATCAACAAACTATGGTTGAAATAAACCACGATCTAATGGAAAACATGAACACCACCAGTGCATCAGAAAGAGATGAATATATAATTTTGTAGTTGCTGAAACAGAAAGTAAACTCTCTCTTACCTCGTGCTCCCCAGAGAAAATAATCTCATAATTTCTGATCAGCATGGTCATAGGGTATAATGAGAATTGAATGCAATCCATCTGGAATGCAGGAGGTTGGGGAAGACGGTAGTGGGAATGCTTTTAAATATCACATGCAAGAGACGCCTAAGATACCACAGGCATTAATATCAATGAAGCAGATTTTATAATTGGCAAATTGACATTAATTTTTTGTGGACTGTACAAGCTGATTATATGGAGGTTATATAAAGCTAAAGCTGGAAACAAATTTCTCAGAGAAGAGAGGACTGCTATGATAATACCTTAGTCTCCCGAGGCTATCAAACAACCTCCCAATTATCCCTTAATTAGGAAGAGGAGGAGGAAAAAACCTAGAGCTTGCACCCTGCAATGAATATATGAATATTATTTATTCATCTAGTGCATGTCAGTATTTAGACTGGGTATTTTCCAATGATTTGGGTTCTAATCAAGAGCCTATTGTTATTGTGTTCAGCTCAAATCAATCTGCAGGATGAAAGCCTTTTCATTGAAAGTTATGGACCTATAAAATTATATTAAAGACTACATTATTTTCTGTAACAGGACAATGTGTTGGAATCTTCTGCCAAGTTTAGTTGAGAAATGAATTAGGGACTAAGTGTCTGGAAACCTGTGATTTACTACTGAGCCCAGTTGTGAACTCTGCTAGGTTGCATGTTTGAATTGTTCCTCGTGGAGTGGTGGACCTTATTCTTGCACATTTTTCAATGGGAGTTGGAACTTTCCAGGAAGAGTTTCAACTTTTATTTATCTTCCTGAGGATAAATAAAATTGGGAATGAATATTGATCATGAGCACTCAGGTTCTGGTAGCATCTTGTTAACCTGTTAATTGCTCTACTTACAGCTGTCTGTGAAAATGGGTGTCTTAATGGAGGAAGATGCGTTGCACCAAACAGATGTGCCTGCACATATGGCTTTACAGGACCTCAGTGTGAAAGAGGTAGGTGGGATTTCCATTTTCTAATTAAAAAAGTGGAAGACTCTAAACTGTCTTTGGGTATAAAAATTCTTTTACAATTAAGATGAGGTGCAAGTGCAGTAAAATATTTGATTCAGTCTTTTAAATGGTTGAAGTTCGCTGGTTGTGATTACATTTAATACGTTTTTAGAAGACTGTATGGTAGGGTTTGGCTATACAGAGTTTATGCCATGCTTATACGGTACATGTAGAGTCCTCATTTTTAAAAAATAACGTTTAATTGTTTCTTTCAAAGTACAAAATCACTCAGTCTCACAACATTTCAGTGTTTGTACATGAGACTGTATACTCTTGAGGGTGAAATTGCCAAAATCTCCCAACATTGATTCAACTCATGAATTTGTGGCCATTTTTTATTCTTTCCAACCTAATAGAAGGTTGGAAATAAATTTATATCTACCTGTCTGTTCATCAGTAGGATAGCTCTCTGAAAACTGAACACAATGACACCAGACTTGGTGTGGGGGGAGAAAGGGGCACAAGACAGATTGAGCTTGAAAATGGGTTGAATCAGGCCCGGCGCTGAAGAGAAAAAAAATGAAATTTATTTCTTTATTACATTTCACATTTCATGTTTAACTGTGAATGCTAGCTAATAAAAGAAATATAGTCATATACATTTTAGTTCTCTGTTTAATATACATAAATGTCTTGGACAATTTTTTTTGGCATCCAGAGTTATATTTGAGAACTGAAGTTACTCTCTATCCTGCCTTACATCTTACGGTTTGTTTTGTCTAGTTTTGTGAAGCTCTTCTTTTGTAAAACTTGCATGGGTTTGTTATCAGTTTTGTGAACATTTTCCTTGAGGAACCATAGCAACCCACACAGCTGTTTCCAGATGAGGACATGGCTCTACTTATTGGCTATACTGAATTCATTTAAAGGAAATTAAATGAAGTTTAATAGTATTTGGAGAGAGGGAAGGCAGCAATAGCTGTTGAATTGTAATTGTCATCTGGCTGTTTTATATTCTTGAAGATACATGTTTTAATTGGAACAAAACACACTAGCCCAGCGTATGAACAATTTGTAGAGTAGGTCACGTAAAAACTTAACCATCATATATTCAGTCAATTAGATTCAACTTCCTCACTCCAGTTCATATATATACCCACATTTAACCTAGTTCAGGTCTAAACCGATAGATCTTCCTAGTCTGAATGAAATTCAGAATAAGTAGGATTAGATCCATCATTATCATTAATTGTGTGCTCCATTGGAAAAATAAATGGTTACCAAGTAGTAAATGTACATGGTGATAAAATATGACAATTTATGTTGTCTGCTGCCACAGAGTGGTATATACCAAATGTTTCCCTAGAGGTAGAGACAGACATCTTTATGTTTGACTCTAAGCAGAATATTCTGTGAAATTAACTTGTAGAGGCAAAGTCTAGACATTAAACTGCAGAACTGGTCAAGCAACAAGTTTCCAGTTATTTCAGTGCCTTTAGATCTAGGATTGGCAACCTGGGGCTGTCCAGATATTGCTGAATTACAACTACAAGTATGCCTCCCCACTGCCTGTGCTAGCAAGAGGTGCTAGAAATTGAAGTCCAGAAACATACAAAGGGAGATAAATCTTATCTCTTCCTTAGGTTGTCCTGTGTGTGTTTTCCTGACTTTGGCGGTTCAGAGTAACTTTGTGATACCTCTTTTTCCTGCTGTAGAAAGTAGAGACAGGACAGTGTTTCCACCCAGAGTTTCCTTTTGCTCAGAGCAGCCAGCTTGGACTCCAGTCACTTCAAATATTAAGACTTCAGCATGTGCTTTCTTGGTGTGCATACTTCATGTACAAACAGCGTCTGGTTTTCCTTCACAGTGTCTGTCCTGTTCAGCTTGTAGGAAGTTCTATTTTTCTCCCCCAGTTTTGATGTAACAAATGCAAAATATTTGAAAAAAACCCAAGTTCTGCAAACTGCTTAAGGAATTTGATGTTGATTACTTTACCTAATTAATTCATTTAAATTGGCATACCATGCTAATTAAATGTACTAAAATTTTCATCCTTCATAAACCTTTAATATCCAGAGAACTTTGACAAAGTCTAAAAATAAAAATCCTGCTGTCTTATAATACTGTGGTTTATTTTTCATAAAACTGGGACATCATCTGTTTGTGGAAACGATTACCCTATTCAGTGCCCCCTTTCTATGGTATTTAGTCTAAATGGAAAGCAAACAATAACATGTAGATAAAAATACTAATTATTTTCCCAAAATTAATGTTGTGTTTAAATCAGTATCCTAACAGGATTGTTGGCAAAGAATTTAAAACTGTTTTTCAAGAACTGCTTTTTTTGACCAATTTTGAACAATATTAATTGGTATATGGAATTACGTGGTGAATGATCCATTCTTCTGGCTTGCTGTCGCCTTGACAAAAAGTCTCATATGTTTTCTTCTTTTCTCTGCCTTTTATTTAAATTTTCCCTTCTATTGAAATCAGTGAAAATAAAATTAAAAGATTATATATTTTTTATCAGTAGCATTTTCTTTTTCAATTCTTTGGTATCATTGACTAACCTGCCATGAGAACATTCAGTTTTAGACTCATCTGTCACAATTCTGGTCTAAAGCAACTAAGGACTAGTTCTGTTGTAGCTACTCAGTCATTCCTACTCAACTCCTTTGGTTAGTTCACATGGCTAAAAAAATGGACTCATACCCTTTCTGTGGTTTGTTTATAATCCTGTCCAAACTGGGATCTGGCTTATTCCCATTGTATGAGGATAGAATTAGAAGTCAGGGTTTTTTTTTATTGTTTTCCAATTCTACCTCACTAGGGTGTTAACAAGCTGGAAATGTCATTTCAGCCATCATGTTAAATAAACTGGAAGGAACTATTTATTTAGTTATTGCTTTGGACAGGAAGGGCCAGGTGGGTGCAATGAAATGGCTGTGAACCCATGTGCCTGGATTTACCCTGGTCATTAGCATACTGCCTGAATGCAGCCAAGGCTTAAACATTTGTAAATAAGAGTATGTCTAAATCAGTGTTTCTCAACCTGGGGAACTTTAAGACGTGTGGACTTCAACATCCAGAATCCCCCAGCCAGCCTTGCTGGCTGGGGGATTCTAGGCATTGAAGTCCACACGTCTTAAAGTTGCCCAGGTTGAGAAACACTGATTTAGACATACTCTTATTTACAAATGTTTAAGCCTTGGCTGCATTCAGGCAGTATGCTAATGCCCAGGGTAAATCCAGGCACATGGGTTCACAGCCATTTCATTGCACCCACCTGGCCCTTCCTGT